CACCGGGGTCTTCAGCAGGGAGCAGGCGGAAGGAAGGGGCAGGGGGGGGGGGGGGGGGGGGGGGGAGGGGGGGGGGGGGGGGGGGGGGGGGACTGGGACCGGGGAGGGGGGGGAAGGGGGGTGGTGACTGGGAGGGGGGGGGCACCCCAGCTGGAGTCAATATTTGTTCTAGGAATCTCAATAACAACCATGCAAGAGTCATCTGCATTTCTGATAATGGATGGCCATATGGCTGTGTTGACCCAGTGGGATCTGAGTTATTCGCTCTCCCGTTTGCAATCGTTTCCTTTACATCGCACGGCACTCTGTGTCGCCCCCCCCCCCCCGTCGCATTGTATGCGTCAAGGAGCGCATAATAAAAATCCTACCTGCTGGAAGCATCTTTCTTGCGGAATAATAGGACCCACTCTGAGTTTGCACATCCTTTCTCTCTTTGTAATACCCTGGTACCCTGGAAGTGACCTGTTATTGTAATGTGACCTAGGTTACCATGGCAGCAGAGCCTGTGATGTTCTTTTCGGTCTTCTGACGGCACTTATAAAATCCAGAGCAAGGAAATAATGAGACTGCGCAGGTCGCTCTCTCCGCAAACTCGGCCCCTCGGAGAAGGTGTTTCGCCTCCTCGAGGGCTGTTTACGCCAGACCTTATTTGCATTTGAAGTCCGTCTGTTTGAAGCCATTTGTATTAAGAGGTTATGTTTTCCCTTCGTTTTAGCTGGCTCACTAATGAAAAGCTCTTGCCTCTTGTTGCAAAATTATACAGTTTTCACTGATACTAATGAATGTGTAATAGATGTGAGTGTTTGTTTTTTTTCTTTTCTTTTCTTTTCTTTTGTTACACGTGTATTCTGAAGGGCTTACGTAATCGTGTGTCTGTGTGCGAATGGGCTGCCTATGTCCCGGCTCACATGCCTCACCTTTTCCGGCTCACTGTGTCTTGTGTCTTTACCTGGGGTGTGAGTCTCCCCCCTTCTATACTTGGCTCACGGTTTCCAGAATATTCCTTACGCCCTATTTTGTCGGAACATCGATGGGCTGCTCTTTCCTTCTGTGCGAGAGTATGCTGGGGCCTTATACCAAACAGCAGGGGGCGTGTTGGACCCCCAGCCCAATGGTCCTACACCCCCCAGCCCAATGGTCCTCACTTCATGCAAAAGGAGGCCCCAACGAACAGCCCCCCGGGCCCCGCCCCCGTCCCGGCCCCCAGGCTCAGGTGCTCGTCATCCTCGTGTTTTTGTGTCCTCTTTTCAGCGATTCGTCATGCCCTCTCCCCACTGCCCCCTCCTTCCAGCCCCCTGCTGCTCTGGCACGTGCCAGCTTACCGCGGACGGGCCTGTTTGCCAGACGGTCGCTCGGCCTTGACAGCCTGCTGCCGGCAGGGCCGGCGGCTCGCCGTGGCGGGGGCGGAGCCAGGGCAGAGGCGGACCGCCGGGGGGGCCCTTGGCAGCCGCTGAGCGAAGGGGCCCTTAATGAGATGGGAACGGCACCGGCCTGATCCCGCCAGGATTTGGCGCGGGCGGGCGTCTCCTCTCTGGTGGAGTTTGGCAGCCTATTCATTAGGCCGAGTCATCAGGAGTTCAAGCCCGAAGCAGACAAGGGCAAGTGCAGCCAAAAGCAGGCGAACGGGCGGCCGGTGGCCAGAGGCGCAGTCGTAGCTACCCCTCATCAGCCGGGAGATGAAGCGTTGGACCGGACCGAGCCGGGCCGGGCCAGGCAGAGAGGGCCTGTTTAACGCCTGCTTGTCAGTCTGCGGGTGCAGGAAACGGCCATCCGCTTTCTGTGCCACACTTCAAATGTCTGATTATATTTCCTATTATCTCCACTCGATCTGTGTAAAGAATAAATGAGGACGAGCTAAAATAATGTTTTTTTTGTTTCCCTGCTGAAGTTTTCAAGGTGCAAAAGATATTTGCATCATCACACAGTGCAGCCCATAAATGTTTGGACAGTTGACTCATATCCACATATCCAAATGATTTTGGTCCCTTAGAATGAGGGGGATCTATAAAAATGGTTATAATCCCTTTGCAGTTCTCCCAGTATAGCTGTCTGTCGTCTTAAATGAAAGTTGACACTTTAACCCTTAGAACCAGTTGATTTTCGCACCCATTAATCTCAGACTCGTGACGCACAGACATGAATCCCATATCATAACTTACAGAACGTTATGCACTATGTGCGGAATGAGGCATATATTTTAAACATTTTCCACCAAAACGCACTCCTAATAATCAATGAAACATCGATGTTATTCACATTGACAGAAAACAGAGCATATTCTCCTCTGCAATGATACACGTACTACAGTTCTGGGGAAAAAATATTTTAGAATTTATCTATTATAGGCCTATAAATAAGGGGATTGAAAAACACTCAAAAATGGTCTGCAGTTCTACTAGACATAAAAACATAACGCAGCATTCTATTTAACAGGAAGACAATTACTTGATATTTTCATAATTTTTATTTGCAGAAGTTTGTATATGTGTGTTTCAGGTTGAGCTCCGTCAAAGCAGTTGAAACAGAGCGTGCCCTTTGTGTAACTGGAACAGCTCCCACATGTAAACGCAGTGACATGCTACAGCACTGGTTTGCTGTTTGAGGCTGAAATGCAGACTGAAAGTTTCATTCTCGAATTTCACTTTACCAATCATAGCATGTATAGGCTGGAAAACGATCTCAATAAACATCCAGCTGTAGACTGTGTTTATCCCATGTGTTTATCATAAACTAAGACGTGCTTTACTATTTCAGTTTCTTTCAGATGCTATAAAGTAATATATATGTAATGTTTGTGTGTGTGTGTGTATATATATAAATATAAAAAAACCATGCATTGCTGTCTCTCAGGTAACTTCAACAAGGTACTAAATGGATGCAGAATCAAAGATATGGAACCCTTACCTTCCCGCATCGTAAACACTCTAATCTCAACATTTATAAGATTATATTTGTAGTGCCCACAAATGTATATATTAGATGAGACTAAAAATTGAGAAATCTTAATAGGCACCAGTAGTTTTTTCTCATGAAAAGGTTGATATCAAGACTGTGTCAGCATTTGCACATGAAATTATGACATATCTGAGTAGCCCAGAATGTCCGGACAACAAAACCGTGAAGCGTATGTGGCTGACTCATGTACTTGGAGTGTAATAAGCCTAAAATCGAAGGGATAGAAAAGCATTCAAAAATGGACAGGGTTGAAAGGGTTAAAAGCATGGTTTTAGTGTTTTACTTCCTTTAAGTCCTTTGTGATGGTGCACAGAGCCAAAAGAATAAAAAATGTGTCCCTCTGCAGGTCTGTATATTACTGCGTTTGGCCTGTTCGTCGCTGAGCTGGTGCCTCCCCCTCCCTCTCTAAATCAGCCTATGTAAAGCGTTGCCCTTCAGTTCTCCTCGAGTACCAAGCTCACACCTGTAACTCGTTCGTCTCCTTTGTCCCCCTAACTTTTGGCCGCGCTACGTTTGTGGGCCTTTTTACAGGAGCCCCTTGCAGCCGCGGGGACGACGCTCTGACGGCCTTCCAGATTGCCGCCGGCGACGTCCCCAAATTCTAATGGGTTCAATTTTCCCCCGACGGGCCAGGATGGAGCACAATGCAGGGACACCTCCCACACCGAGTGCTGAAAGGCTGTCTCATCCAGGGGGCTTATTTAAGCTTGACAGTAGGGGCAGACATTGTGCTTCTTTCTGGATTATTGTTGACTACCCTTCATTTCCTGCTCTATGAGTGGTGTGATTGTGTAAGGGTGTGTGAGGGGGTCAGGGCAGAGTCCCCCCCCCCGAACCTGTGCTCAGGCCACCATCTTTGGCGGAGAGCTGCACGCTCCGCCCATCCTTTGTGTTGTCCAGCATCCACACGTCGCTCTGTGAATATGTAGGGCCATCTGCTCATTGTCAATTAATAATTGGATTCATGAAGCTGATTTAAAAGGGGGGGGGGGGTTGTCAAGGTCTATGCGGAGCCTGTCTTCCTGTCCTTAACTGTGCCCTCCCAGCTACGAAGAGCGCGCTCTTTACCTGGAAGCCATCGTGCAGAACCACAGAGAGGTCATGACCTTTGAGGAGTTTGCCTCTCAGGTCTTCTCCCCCTCCCCAAGCTACTACCCCCTCAGCGGGACAGGTAAGCTCCTCAGCAACCACCGTCTCCCCCCCCCCCGCACAACCTCTCATGTCAGATATTACACACTGTAGTTTCTGTTCACCCTTAACATCTTTATTTCTGTGGTAGTTTAGTGTTTTTCTTTTTAAAAACTTCTCTCTGTGTCAGTGCTTAATAAATACAGCACCAGCGGCCGGGGGAGGGGGGGTCGTGGCTCGTGGGGTGTCACCGGGCCACTCACTTGTGCCGCACCGACCCGAAAGCACATTGGAGCTCGTTTATCGAAAACAGGCAGAAAGAAAGCTTGCCGTTAACAGTAAAGGTGAATCATGCTGCTAGGATACCGACGGGCTGGAATTAGTTGGGGGGGGGGGGGCTCATTTATTACCATTTCCCCCCCTCCCCTCCGCCAAACCAACCGGTGAACTACGCTTCTTTGCTCGGCAAACGCAGAAAAAAATCAATTCCGCCGCAGAGGTACCTTAGGCTGGTCTGACTCCTTAACATTCTGCTCAACAAGAAGATGGAGTGGAAAACAAAAATATATCTATGAAAATGAAGAGCTGGGCCTTGCATTACTCCAGTAGATGTGGTATTGAATTTTCTTTTTTCTTTTTTGCAATTTATCAATTTAGTTTCCTGTAATAGAAAAGTTATTTCCATGAATAAGTTTTAGTATTCAGGTGCTGTTGAATACTGTCCCCCTGCCTGCATGCTGACTTATTTAAGGATTCAGAGTAAAACCACCTGACACAGCGATGAAATGAGCAGATGTACAGTGATGTCTGACATCAGCCGCCTTTCAGTGTCGCTGAGCAGAACGCACACAGCGCCATATGGGTGTGGGCTCTGTGCCTGCGTGTGTTCCAGCGCGTGTGTCCACATACGTGCAGGTGTGCGTGTGCCGCTCTCCTCTGTGTGGGGGTGGGGGGGTGTGTGTGTGTGTGTGTGTGTGTG